AAACTAACTTTTTGCCACACCTGCCAATGGCCGGTGACGTGATAACATTTACCGGCCAAAAAAGTTTTTTACCGGCCATGAAACTCTTTTTATGTAGTAAGGACATCGGTAAAACAGTCCATGTGACATCAGTGTCTCAACTTCAGTTTTGCGAAGCTACGAGAATACATTTTGAGCACAAATAAAACAAAAATAACATAATTTATTTAACAATTCTTCTCCCCCGAGTTACGTCTTCCACCATTTTGGAGAGTACCCAAGAGCGTAATCGGCGTAATCAGCGTGTTTTACGTTTGGGAGAGAAAGCGCGCACATGAACGTAATCCGTTGTTTACACTTAGGGGAAAACGTGCGTATGCATTGTGATACTCTCTAAAATGGCGGAAGATGTAACTCGGGTGAAAAGAATTGTTGAAACATTTTTTATTTTCTTTTTTTTTTTTGTCCCTAAAAAACGTTGAGATTCTTATCCTTTTTCATGTTTTCGGCAAACGGAGCAGGCCATCGTGTTATACCTGTTTCACACATACTTCGTTTGCAGTGTGTATGTGGTGCATATTTTTTCTGCACCCATGTTAACGCATTAGAGCAGTGCTATTCGATTAGCTTCATTTGAGGATGTAACTCGGGTGAAAAGAATTGTTGAAACATTTTTTATTTTTGTTTTCTTTGCGCTCAAAAAGTATTCTCGTAGCTTCGCAAAACTGAAGTTGAGCCACTGTCACATGGACTGTTTTGCCAATGTCCTTACTACGTTTCTGGACCTGGGAACATTACAGTTGCGTCGCTGTCTATGCAGGGTCTGAGAGCTCTCACATTTCATCAAAAATATCTTAATTTGTGTTTCGAAGATGAACGAAGGTCTTACGGGTTTGGAACGACACGAGGGAGAGTAATAAATGACAGATTTTTGGGTGAACTATCCCTTTAAGGAGTCTGACCTTTATTTGTGGAAAATCCATATTATATTAAAAAAAACAGTCTCTTTTAAAGCTAGGCAGAGGATATCTCAACATTTGCAACAGTTATTGAATCCTGCAATTGTCCTCTTTGATCTTCATGTGTCATTAAGGTTGGTGGGGTGTATCAAGTATCATTTGGGAAATGTACTAGAGTCATGGACTAGTTTCCACTGTATCTTATATAACATACATCTTAGAAGGTTTTATGAGCTTAAAGGAATAGTTCACCTAAAAATTAAATGTCATTATTTTATAGGACACTCCTTCTGTGGAAAACAAAGTAAGATTTCCAACAGTTTTGTCCATACAGTTAAAGTGGGTCCAAAGCATCAGACCTTTTGTGTATTCTTTTGTCTTCCACAAAAAAAAATTGCATAAAAGTTTGGAATGACAAGGTGAGTTAATGATGGCAGAATTTGCATTTTGGGTGAACTATCCCCATGTATTAATATGACTGTTTCATATGACTTATTCACTGAGTAGTGCTTGTATAAACATCACACACTGTGTTTCAGTATAACCCTTTCCAAAGGTTTCGGCACATCAGTTTATTGTCTTGGCATATTGTTTTGCCAGCCCAAATGATATAGGAAATTTATATTCTAATAACCACTGTTTTAGTGCACTGTAAAAACAAACACACAAAAGTCCTATGAAAGAACGCAAAGCACAACCTCTCAATAAGTTTAGACACATATATAAACATGCAGTTTATATAAATCACTATGGAATAAGAAAGGCTCACCATCTGAATGCACAATTGTGACAAAGCAACCAGCCATTTTTCTAGACAGGGCTAGTCAACTAGCTTCATTTGAGGGCCGGATTATCGAACTGAAAATTTGAAGGGGGCCAAGGGTGTGGGAGCCATCCCGATCTCTTTCTGGGGGGACCTATAAAATTTGAAATTAAATTGAAATCTAAAATCTATAAAAGGTTAACATTAGTGCTGTCTTTCAATCGATTAAAAACAAAATTAATCACACATTTTTCTGTAGTTAATCATGATTAATCACATTTTTATATTGTCATAATTTCACATTGAACCTCCTAATTAATGTAGAAACAACATAAAGATATTATATTTTAAATTTGTTTTTAATGGCATCTTTTTACTAAGTAGCCTATTATTAATGAATAATTGATACCAATACTGCTACTGGTGTCTCTATTAAATATTAATATGACTGTTTCATATGACTTATTCACTGAGTAGTGCTTGTATAAACATCACACACTGTGTTTCAGTATAACCCTTTCCAAAGGTTTCGGCACATCAGTTTATTGTCTTGGCATATTGTTTTGCCAGCCCAAATGATATAGGAAATTTATATTCTAATAACCACTGTTTTAATGCACTGTAAAAACAAACAAACAAAAGCCCTATGAAAGAAAGCAAAGCACAACACAACCTCTCAATAAGCTTAGACACATATATTAACGTGCAGTTTATATAAATCACTACTGAATAAGAAAGACTCAACATTTGAATGCACAATGGTGACAAAACAACCAGCCACTTTTCTATTTTTTCAAACTTTAACAGATCAGGGTCCTTGGGTTCTTATGGAAATCTCAGTGCCTTTTTCTACTCAAATATTTGAATACTGATTTACATCAAAGGCATCAAAGGGGCCACAGAGGGAAAACACAAACACTCAAAATGCTGACCTTTAGTTTGCAGGAGTGTAGATTGAAAAAAGCAAATTCAGTGTTTTTAAAAAGTAGGCAAATTGAGATTATTTGCATTATGAAAATGCCATAGTAGTAAAGTACCAAAGGCACTATTAGGTGTTGGCCCACAGACTTGAATTTGGTGCAACCACTACCCCCCCATAACTCATTTGAGACTATGTTTACGAGGTAACTCGCCAAAACCGCATATTTTGACATAATTGTGTGTTTTTGTCCGTTGAAGCACTACTGGTGAGCTGTCTGAAGCGGCTCAGCGTCTTTGTACAGCTGAACGTAGCCTACTTGTCTGCACCGTTTAGGTGGCGTAACTCCAGGTATGTGTCGCCACATTCTCGGGTTATGAAGAAAATAGAAGTTAAAAGTTCATCTTCTGAAATGAAGCAGCAATATCTTCTCAGGTACTACTCAAATATTTGAATACTGATTTACATCAAAGGCATCAAAGGGGCCACAGAGGGAAAACACAAACACTCAAAATGCTGACCTTTAGTTTGCAGGAGTGTAGATTGAAAAAAGCAAATTCAGTGTTTTTAAAAAGTAGGCAAATTGAGATTATTTGCATTATGAAAATGCCATAGTAGTAAAGTACCAAAGGCACTATTAGGTGTTGGCCCACAGACTTGAATTTGGTGCAACCACTACCCCCCCCATAAAGAAATATGTTCTTTATGCTTATGAGATTATTCGCATTGTAAGTGTGACTTGTGTGTCAGATCAGAGGCTGACAGCAGTTCAGACAGAGGGAAAACACAAACACTCAAAATGCTGACCTTTAGTTTGCAGGAGTGTAGATTGAAAAAAGCAAATTCAGTGTTTTTAAAAAGTAGGCAAATTGAGATTATTTGCATTATGAAAATGCCATAGTAGTAAAGTACCAAAGGCACTATTAGGTGTTGGCCCACAGACTTGAATTTGGTGCAACCACTACCCCCCCATAAAGAAATATGTTCTTTATGCTTATGAGATTATTCGCATTGTAAGTGTGACTTGCTAAATGAAGCAGCAATATCTTCTCAGGTAAAAGTTATTAGAACCGTGTCTAGGGACAAGAGGGCCATCACAGTGCTCTGACCTTAACAGCCATTTGTATCCTATTATTTGGTTCGCTCTTTTCGCTTATGATAGAACAGCTAATCACGATGAACTTGTCTTCGGAAAAGATCATTTTATTTGCTTACATCAGAAACAGCAAATCTCTTTAAAAACTGATTGTTGTTCTTGAGATTATTCGCATTGTAAGTGTGACTTGTGTGTCAGATCAGAGGCTGACAGCAGTTCAGAATTGTTCCCTGTTTGTAGAATTGTAGAAAGTCCTCTCATCATCACCTGTAAACCAGATTGACTCAGTTCTATTTTAGCCATAATCCTCAAAGTTTCTAGGCACATTAGTGATTCTGTGAGAGTTTTAAAGGAAAATATTCCGCTTGATACTCATGAGTAACATGGAAAGAATTCTGAATGGTACCACTCCATGTTGCGGAGTTAGGCTCACTGTTATGAGACAAAAATGCAAAGCAGGGCAGTGTGACAAGTTTTGTAGCATGCCAATCTAGTAATGGAGTGACTTTGATGTGCATTAAAAATAAAAACTAGTAATTTTTCCCATAACCTTTTCAGTTTAAGATTCTTATTCTTCTTAATTGAATAGCTTTAAATAGCTTATTTAAGCTGAGCTCAAATCAAGTAATATGGATGATCAAATTCTTTGTATGACGTCTAAATATCTGCGTGCAATATTTATTTGCCATGTAATTTATGTACTCTTATTTTTGTCTCTTTTGTAAAGACAAAACATTTATTTAATAAATATATAAATATAAAGATATTCCGATACAATAATATAAACTCTTTATTCTGTCTGTGTACTGTACTTCATCAGATACAGTTTGAGAAGAACATACTGAGGGGAGTAATTCCAAATATTTAATTGGTGCATCACTAATTACGTGTGCAGCATGTTTTT